ATAGTTTTCAGCATACAGATCTTTTACATCTTTGGTTAGATTAAGAGTTGTCTTCTTTTAGGAGAGGTGCTAATCTGTGCCCATTTATATTTCCTTGTTTACCAAAAGCCATTTGACTCAAGCAGCCACAACCCAGGGGACCCCTGTTTCCCCCCAGTGTTCACTAGTTAAACCTTTCCCAAAATTTAGACAAAGTGCCCAGAGGAAACTTAGGTCTAAAGTGGGGTCTTAAGCTTTATAAGAGAAAGGATTGCTCTGAGAATCTGAAGAAAGCTCTGAATTTTCTCAGAGAAAAAATGCAAGATGCATATACAACATGCATACCTACAATTTCAAGGTATTTCCATGTCCTGCTCACACCAATTAAGAACCTTTGATTTAAGACGGCATGTAGCAAGCCCAAACCTGCATATTGACCTCTACAGTTAGTAAAAATTATCCTTGAAAACCCTTACATTTCCATGAAAGTATAGTATGCCTGGTTCATGTGCTCTCAAATCTCAGTAATATATAATACATAACAAAGAGCAAATATGCAAGATTTACTTTTACAGTATTTTTAATTACAGAAAAAAAAGAAAGGCATAAAGTTGCTGAACACCCAGGGTTGAATACGAGAAGGTTAAATGCACATATGAGGCAACTCCATTCCATAAATTTGACATGCAATGGCAACTCTGGAAAGAGCTGCTTGGTTGGGCTTCTGATGCCTGCAGTGCTAGCCCTGGAGACAGGAAGGTTTGAATTGAGATTTATTTCCTCCCAGTAGCAATGGCATCCATCTTTACCTCTTCCCGTCTTTTCTTATCTTTAAAATGCATGTGTTTTTATTTTTTTTTAAATAGGCAATATTCATGTAAAATTAAAAGTATCCAATAAGTCACCATGATTACTCATATGCCTTCTCTTTCAAATGTCTAAGTAACTTGTGCTTTTATATTTCACTTGACAATCAACTTTTTAGACATGTACTTTGTGTAATCTAAATCTGAAGTTAAATTATTCTGACCTGGAGTTTTGTGATCTGTAAATTTACTACATCAGGTCAATAATTAGTGAGCTTTTCTTCTTAACGTCTTTTTCTTTTTCTTTTGTATGTGCTCTGCTGTCTCTCTCTCCTCGGCACTCCCTCTTGCAGTTGTGTAATGGGGGCTCAGTCACCGAGCTTGTCAAAGGTCTACTCAGGTGCGGCCAGCGGTTGGATGAAGCAATGATCTCATACATCTTATATGGGGCCCTCTTGGTAAGAATGTCCATCAAGCTGGGGATGACGTCAGAGGGGGCAATTTGTAATCTATCGGGATCACCATTGCATGTTAACAAGTGGAAATGGCCCTATAATACGAGGTGCATAACAGCAAGGAGGTGTAGCCAAATGTGGACTTTGATTGGATTTTTAATAGTAGGGTAAAAATTGTCTTAAATAACCATTCAAATTTACCCTTTCTCTTTCCTGTTGTTTGGTCATGGTGGGATGCCATGCAGGGCCTTCAGCATTTGCACAATAACCGAATCATCCACCGTGACGTCAAGGGGAATAACATTCTTCTGACAACAGAAGGAGGAGTTAAGCTCGTTGACTTTGGTAATGACTGCTTGTCGTTTGTTTTCTTGATGTGTGCAGTTTAGCCCAAGGCGACAATTTATTGGAATCTCAGAAGACTGGGGCCTCTCTGCTATCCCATAGGCTGAGGGACTTTTCCAGTCAAACACAGACTGGAGAGTGGGGGGGTTACCAGATGGATCACCCTAGGAGATGCTGTTTGTTAATCTATTTTCAGCTTTAGAAGCAGTTTTATTAAAGATAGAAAATAAAAGTGTTTTAAAAGAAGAATTTGATAGAAAAACTTTTTGGTTTTCTGGGAAGAATTTTGCATCTCAGGGCGATTGTCTATAATTTACATTTCGTCATTTCTTCTTTTGCATATGAAAAGAGAAAGCAGTTTGGTCTTTCAAATGACTTTTTCTAGCCTCAGGCACACTTATTCCCAGTGAGCAGAAGGTAAAATAGTCCTTTGGGTCTGGGAGCTAACATCCCTCTAAATTGTGATTATTGCTGCTACATGTGAGGCTGGTTGAACTGGAAACATTAAGAGGAAATGGAAATGTGAGAGGAAATGCAGAGCAATATCACCTAAGGCCAGAGACCTATTAAATATCTCCTTGCAACATTCATGTATTGATAGTCACAAACCATCAAACCATTTGGTTTTCCTTTTTAAGTTTGTTGAATGGTTTAATCTTCTAAATGTGTTCAACAACAGTTAGTACTTCAGTATGATTATTACAAATAATGAGAAAACATTTACAGAAGCACTTTTTAAAATGTTCTTTATCAAAGTCAACAAAATAGGAGAAAAGATTGATTATTTTGAATATGCATTATATTTTTGTTAAGAATTCAGTGTTAAAATGTGAATGATTAGCTCAGAAGAAATTTCTCAAAAATAAATGGAGCTACTTTAGGTGTATTGATCTATTCACTAAAAGAACAACAAGCAAAGAAAAACAGCAAAGGGGCACTTTGTTCAAGTCTTATGCTCCTCTTTCTGAATAAGGAATGGTGTAACCTTATGAATGTGCTATGGATAACATCAGAGATGCATTTTACACATAATCCCAAGGGCAGTGAATGTATTGCGAGGGAAAGAGCCTAGAAGGATGAGGATGGGGATTAATGCTGATTTATCTGCTTACCAGTTTTGTGATTTGAAATGAGTCTCCTATCTTGCCAATAGAAGGTTCCTAAACTTGCAGTTGCTGGAAAAGGAATTTCTAGCAATTAAAAACAGGAAAGTCTAGTTTTTTCTTTAAGCAAAATCACAGTAGAGAACATGGCAAAATAACAAATTATCCATGGTCAATAGAGTTTAGAGAGTCCTCTTTTGATTTCTAATAAAGAGAATGCAAGCATCCAGTACAACCACCCACCCAGAGCAAGGCATGGGTCCTTGGCAAATCTGTGCCTGATTCAGGTTTTTAAGTTCTCATCACCAACAAGCATTAATGACAATGTTTGTCATTATGTTAAGGGCTGCATTAGATTTCTTTTGTTTTTTAATTAAAGATTTTTTTTATTTTTTATTTTTTTAAGCTTATTTATTTATTTTGAGAGAGAAAGAGAGCATGAGTCAGAGAGGGGCAGAGAGAGAGGGAGAGAGAGAGAATCCCAAGCAGACTCCATGCTGACAGGCTTGAACTCATGAACCATGAGATCATGACCTGAGCTGAAACCAAGAGTTGGATGCTTAACTAACTGAGCCACCCAGGCACCCCTACATTAGATTTCTGCTTGGCATAAAAGAATACCTTATATTTGTAAAATACTGTACAATTTATAAAATATTTCACATTTATTTTCGTATTTGATCTTTAAGAAGAACCCTTATGGAAGCACCTCGGTAATTCAGTTGGTTAAGCGTCTGACTCTTGACTTCAGCTCAGGTCATGATCTCACAATTCATGAGTTTGAGCCCCACATTGGGCTCAGTACTGGCAGTGTGGAGCCTGCCGGGGATTCTGTCACCTTGTCTCTGTCCCTCCCCTGCTTGCCCTCTGTCTTTCTCTCAAATAAAAACAAACTTTAAAAAATTTATTTAAAAAAGAAGAAGAAGAAGAAGAACCCTGGCATTAGGTGTGACAGGTATCATTATCTCCAGTTTGAGGATAAGAAAATTGAGGCTCAGAGTGAGGGAGTCTGTTTGAGGTCATACAATTAGGAAAAGGCATAATTGGGATGGAAAACAAGTCTTCTGACTACTAATCCAACACATCTGTGCTTCTACTTCACTCCCTTTTGTATAGAGAAGAGAGCTGTCTGAAGACTAAAATAGATAAAATACATTGGAATTACATTAAAATTCAGGTCCTCAGCACTGAGTCCTAGATAATAATATTATTGGTCAGCTTTTTTTCCATTTGACATGGTTGTCTTGCCAGGTTTCCAGGCTTCTAGGTAAGATAAGGGACTAAAAAGTTTTTATGTCTACACTGATACTCTATTATAGATAATACATGCCAATTTTCTTCCTCTGTAAAAAGAAGCACCACTTTAAGAAAGAAATCACCTGGAATATTTTGGAAATATAATAGGAAGATATTTTGGGTTTAGTTCTTGATATTTTCTTTTGATTCCAATTTTGCAGCACTATAGATAGGAACATTTATTAGGAAAACAAACTATTCTAGTGGTTTGGGTAGAGTGGTAAATGTTTCCACATAGTGGTTGGCAAAGTACGGTGTCTCAGCTGAATCTGATCTGCCTCCTGTTATATGACATGTGAGAGAAGAATGACTTCTACCTTTTTAAATGATTGGGGGAAAAAAATGAAAAGAATATTTTATGACGTGAAAATTATATGCATCCATAAATAAATTTTTATGGCAACACAGCTGTACTTATTTGTTTCTGTGTTGTCTGTGGCAGCTTTTTGCTCTCCACGGGCAGGGTTGAGTAGTTCTGATGGAGACCATGTGGCTCGCAAAACTTATCGACTCTCTGACCGTTGATGGAAAAAGTTTGCCAGCCTCTGGTCTAGCATCATCCTCTGCTCACTGATGAATTACGATACCCTTTTCCTATAGGTGTCTCAGCTCAGCTCACCAGTACACGTCTACGGAGAAACACATCTGTTGGCACCCCGTTCTGGATGGCCCCTGAGGTAATCAGAAGGCACTTATTTGTGTTTGTTGAGTAGCTTGATACTGTGCCTTTTTAAAAAAATTTTTTTTTTCAACGTTTTTATTTTATTTTTGGGACAGAGAGAGACAGAGCATGAACGGGGGAGGGGCAGAGAGAGAGGGAGACACAGAATTGGAAACAGGCTCCAGGCTCTGAGCCATCAGCCCAGAGCCTGACGCGGGGCTCGAACTCCCGGACCGCGAGATCGTGACCTGGCTGAAGTCAGACGCTTAACCAACTGCGCCACCCAGGCGCCCCGATACTGTGCCTTTTTATGGGGAAGTCATATACTTCACAAAATTTTCAGAACTGTAAGTTCTGCTTTGGTCAGTGATAATGATGACACATAATCTCAAAAAACGCAGGATTTAGTCACAGCTAACCCATAGGGTACCTTCATGCAGTTAGAAAAAGGTATTCCCCCCAGAAGATGCAGCCCTTTCCAAGGGTCATGGCTTGCGAGTTTACCCAGCCTTTGTGTAAATTAGAAAAAGTTGCCTTCCCTGGATAGATGCAGCCCCACAAACACATGGCTTATTGATAAAGAGAAAGATTTCAGTTCCAAATGGATTACAGCACTATATACAGAAGAAGTCCTGGTTGTTTTTTGCTACCAGGTACATACCAACTTCTCTTGAGTACTTTTTTGGCTTTCTAGCAAACCTGGGATTTGACCCTAATTTGGTCCTGGCATCATCACAGAACCCTCTGTGAGATGATGCATGTAGAAGTTTGGGGAATTTTCCAACTAGATAAGGCATACCCTGAAATACTGATACAGCTTTGCTTGCCAGGTCAGCATTTAATTCCACCATACTGAGGCCTGTGCCCTGAGCCGGTCTCTGGGATTAAGCAAATGGGTGCTTTTAATAAGAGGACTCAGGCAGTCATCTCGTTAGAGGTCTTTCTATCTATTCTGTCCCCATGGCTGTCTTTCCTCTGTGTGACTGTACGGGAGGTCTCCTAACACAGTAATCAGTTCACATCAATATGCTCATAGTTTTTCAGTGGCTCGCCATTGTCTATGGTCCTCCCTTTCATACTTGGGTAATGGACAGGCTCATTTTCGAGAAAAAGAAAACGCCTGTAGATTCCAGGGTTTACTTAAATCTTAAATGTTTCTTAAGTAGGATTTAAAAAACATGAAACTAGATATAAACTCCTTATTGCTTATATTTATAGAGCTATGTACCTAAAAGGAAAAAATGTGTTATAAAAAAACTACAAAGCCAGTATCATTCAAGTAAGTACCTTTAATTTAATGAGACAAATGACACTGTTTTGTGAAGCTCAGTTGTCCTTTGCAGTGTAAGTATGTTTCAGAGTGTGACAGTATAAATTACTTTGAGTTATTTTGTCAAACTTAGTACTGTACCATGTGGTGACCCACCACTTTATTTCAGCTAGGGTGATCTTTGTTCAAACAGCATCTCCTTTGGTCTCTAACTGGTACATGTCTCTTGGCTTATGCCAACTTAATAATAAACATAAATACAGGCACTGAAATTGTGAGGCAAATGGTCATCCATATTTGGAATATGTTTTTATCACTGTTCTCTGATTTTATTACTAATAAAGTCATCATTGCAGCAGAAACAAAAACATAAGAATTTTCATAGGGACCTTGTGAACCCTACTTTGAGTAACACTGTAGGACAGAGTCAAAACTCCTTTGGATGGTAAACAAAGCCCTTCATATTCCAGCCCCTGTCTACCTGTCCAGTCTCATCTCAGGTTACTCTTCCCCAATTTACTTGTTCTTAAGCCTCAACAGTAGTGAACAGCTTCATCCCAAATCCATCTTGACCCTTCCACGCATTGCTATATCTTCTGGATTAGGCCTCAGACCCCTGAAAAATTCCTTCTCAGTCTTCAAGTCTCAGCTCAAATGCATCTCTATCCCCTAAGAAACCTTCCCTAATGCATGGCTGACACTGAGGCTGCTATCCCTAAGTTTCCACTGCAACCTTTTAGTCTCCATTAGTATACTATGATCACCCCATTGTAATTGTTGGTAGGGTCTTAGGATGTCTAGCTCTCAGCATGGTGCTTGATACAGAGTAGGTGCTCATAAGCCTCTATTGGATGAATGAATCCATTGGTTAAAAAAAAGCCAAAGGAGAAGATGAAATTGGAGGGTAGTTTGAGGAGGCTGTACAACTAGTATTAAAACATTTCTCTGTAGATTTTGATTGATCTGTTATTGAAGGAAAGCATAACTGAGGCTACTCAACTCACATTTAGGGTGGCATAACACAGAAGATGTTGTTCTTGTTCTAACAGCAAGCTGGTATTCTTAGAATCACACAATGTAAATAAGAGAAGCTTGCCTTTGGCTTCGTACGTTTCTCATGAGGTGTTTGTGGCTTCTCAGTTTTAGCCACGTTGAATAAAATATGTGGACTGTTTCTGTAAGGGGCAGTTTTGTGGTTTGTGGTGAGCTTCTGTTGCCCAGATTGTCTGGAGCTGGTTGTGTTATCAGCAGGGAAAAGCCAGTGTCCCATCTTACCTGCTGTAGTGGTCAAGTTGAGGAGTACGCAGATTGCGGTGTGGAAACCTCAACAGTGCCTTTCAGGAGCAAGTGCCCAATTGCTCGTGCATGCCTCAAAGACTGTCTCAGGATGTGTGCTGGTGCCCAGTATGCTCTGAGTTCTAGGCTGCAGTTCTTGGGACTCAAGCCTGCACAATCCTCACATTTTTATTTTCTTATTTTTTTTTAGAAGTATATTTATTTATTTTGATTGACAGAAAGAGTGAGCAGAGAAGGGCAGACAGAGAGGGAGAGAGAGAATCCTAAGCAGGCTCTGTACTGTCATTGCGGAGTGTGATGTGGAGCCTGGTCTCAACGTGACATGGGGCTCAAACTCACAAATCGTCAGATCATGACCTGAGCCAAAACCAAGAGTCGGAGGCGTAACCAACTGAGCCCCTAGGCAACCCCTATCACATTTTTTTTTCTAAATGGAGAATTACTTTTTCCAACAAGGCTTCTTTTTGCTTCCTATTTCTCCCTAAATATGTCCACAGGAACAGTCTTCCATTAGTCAGTTCAATTCCACAAACGTGTGCTCTCCCTGGTGAGCAAGGCTTTGGGTCAAGAGCAGTCCTTGGAAGTATAATCAGTAGTGGTTGAAATGAACATTGTCTTCAAGTGATGGCCTGCATAGCATATTGATCTTAATATACATTTACTTCTCTAGTGTGAATAAGTGGTGTTTAGATTAAATATGGCAACAATGTACGCAATGGCAATACCAGGGGAATGAAATCATTGCAGGTGACCAGTGCTTTTATTTTGAAAATGCAGCTGAAAGATCCTTGATCCTGTTTAATTCTGAGAAATGGAACCGAATTATTCTTTTCCCAATTTTGTTTCCATTTTTATTTCACCAGCTTGAGTAACTTCAATATTTAATTCAAATAGGCTTGTACTACAAACCAGGTAGCTAATGGAATGTGACCATACCACAACCAAATGTTGATGAACAGTCCAAACGCATAGTTCACTGGGACAGCTCAAAGTTGTAGTGTGAACTGACTTACGTTGTCAACACTCTCCACTTATTTCCTCTCAGTGTCTCATTTGGATACTACTAAAGTTGAAAAATACTGGGTAAAAGCGGTATCAGCTCAGCCATATAGAATAAGAAAAATTCTAGGGAGTGCTCTTAGGGTGATAGTACTTGGAAACAATGCTCCTGGGGAAATACTGCCTAGCGTAGTAAAAGGGTTAATCTGAAAGTCAAGATCAAAAAAATAAATCAATAAAAGTCAAGATCAGTACAATTTTTTATAAACTGAGTATATTGGTAACGTACTACGACCCAGGGAAGGCAAGAGGTAGGTGGTTGCAGAGTGTGTTGGTTCAGCAGCTCAGTAAAGCCATCAAAATCCAGGCTGTGACTGCTGCAAGCTGCATGGCTTCACTGCTGGGGACTGTCTTGGAGGCAGTCGTGACAACATTGCCTGTGAGTATCTGAGGGGCAGTAGTAGCTCCAGCATTCCAGTAGCCACCAGTGAAAGTACTCTTGGTACAAATAGACACCCCCCTTTACTTCCATGAGGCTGATCGTGTGGTCAGCCAAGAAGTTAAAGAGGGTTCTTCTCCTGTCCTGGAGTCAAGGACTGTCCACTCCATACTAGTTTTCTAGGACTGCCATAACAAAGTAGTACCAACTTGGCTTAAAACAACAGAAAATTATTATCTCCTCGTTCTGGAGGCTAGAAGTCCAAAATCAGGGTGTCACTGTGCTCCCTCTGAAGCCTCCAAGATCCTTTCTGGCTTCTTCTTAGCTTCTAGCAGTTTGCTGGCAATCTGGTATTCTTTGGCCTGTGGCTGCATAACTCTAATATCTGGCTTTGTAGTCACATGGCACTCTCTTTGTCTCTGCCTTAACATGGCCATCTTCTTATAAGGTCTCCAGTCATATTGTATTAGGGGCTCACCCTACTCCAGTATGACCTCATCTTAACTAATTACACCTGTAGCAACTATTTTCAAGTAAGTTTTCATTCTGAGGTTCTGAGGGTTAGCACTTTAAAATATTTTTTTTGGAAACACAATTCAACCCATAACAGCCCTCCAAATACTTAGCACCCCTGCTTTGTAGTAAGTAATTCAAGTTTCCAGGGCAATCAGTCAGTCATTTGGAACCTACAGGTCAGGTTTGCATGTTACAGGTATTAGCTTAGAGAGTTCAGCTTTGACTGTCTACACATGCACGCATGAGTGTGCACACACATACATATTGTTCTCTCTCAGCCTCAGGTGTTTAAGGCAAACATCGTTCTTACTGGATGTACTAAGCATAACATATTGCCTTCCCACATGGGGGCTTAACACCTTCAGAATTCTGTTCTGTCCTACCTGATCTCTGGCCAAGAATTTTTTATTATCTCCTGAGATGTTTGGCTCTGGTGACCTCCCTCAACCCTCTGTATACGTTGAGCCTCTGGTCTCCTGGACTCTTACTTTAGCCT